TATTTATTTCGATATTTATTGTATTTCATCTATTACATATAGTTCATTATTATTTCTGAATTTCTAATTTTCAAATACATATACATATTTTATAGAGAATATAATGAACATGAGATATTCAGGCATCATAATTATTTGGATCACGGAAATATTGTATTGCCCAAACATATTATGCACAACGCTTGTACTTAAGTACACAGCTCATATAACAATCTATTGTTGCAGTATTATTGCGTGAGGTACACAAATATTTGTAGTAACGTTCCATTTTGGTATAATATTCCTAAAAAATACATGGTAGATAGTAATGTATTAAATTATTCAGGATTTGATATTATATATTATATCTATACATATATTAGGATTACTCAAATATTTAATTTTCATTTATTTAATGTTTACTTTATCTATATATTCTACATAATATAATTTAGAATAATAAACAAATACCCAGGTTTCAAATAAAGAATGATGAACTTATATCCAAATATCAATGCAATGCATTAATTCATTGTAAGACAAAATTATTTTAGCGAATTTCTTAAATTCTACATTTGGATCTCCTAATTGTAACACCAATAACGTAATAATCAATATTTCTTATTAAAATATTTTTTAACTATTTTTACATTATTGTCAGAGTGAAATGTCTTACAAATGTACAAAAAGTAAGTATAGTATAGGTATATATATATGTAATTATATTTTTGGTAGAAAATAACACACTTTCTGCGAGGATAGCAATTAGCTATTCTGAAAGTTATGTTAATTTCCAAAGTATATCTAGAGACACAGTACTGTCACGAAGCACTACATCCCGCCGAGTTTAGGATTTTAATGGCGTGGCGCGTCGCATTTAAGTATACCTCGACGACTGTGCCGCCGCGTAAACGTGTTGCGTGCGCGTATGCGCTCGGATAAACGCCCACCGAGGGTCTTTCCGTTTCGGGAAACATACCCCGAGCACTGTTTGCACACTACATCGGTTCGTTCTCTTTCCCGTTTTCTTCCTTTTCCACCATGGACGTACCTTAAAGCGGCAATGCGCTTTCCTCTCTCACCCGGCCGGCACACGTATCGCGTGTATTTATGGGCGTATTTGCGAATACTCGCGACGCGACTACGGCATGCGTGTAATTTAGACGTCGCAGTGAGATTCCTCGAGCGAGTTACAACACCGGTTTCGACGACGCAAGGAACGGACTTTTCTTCGAAAGAATCAGCTAATCTGGTATACGTATCGCGAAACTCCTCGTACATTTTTTGCTCGCGCAACGCGAAGGTAAAATAAACTTAATAATGTAATAGATGTTTATTTAAACGATTTGAAAAACGGAACGTTAAGAAGAGCACCTTTTTGCGACGACATCGAGAAAATGGCTCTCTCGATTTCTTTCAGCAATTTCGCCGTTGCCTTGTCGATCGCGATAGGACGACCCGCGTCTCTTGCGTTTCTCTTGTACAATACGAACAATGCGATGCACCGGCGACCACGTATTGTTGGCTACGCGCAAGGAAGTAACTTTCGCAGGAAATGACCTTTCCATTCGTTTGGATGACGTGCCGAGAACGAGCGGGCGATCGATCTGTTTTTCGCGGACTGTTAAAGCCGAACGAGGGTTTCGTCGTCGCGACGTCGACGATAAAAGCAACGCCGACGCGGTGGAATGACCGATCGCACTCTCGATACTTTCCGAACGAGGTGGAAGAAACCCCGCGAAATTTTACGGCGGATAGACCCCGACGGAGGAATTACGTTAAGCTCGAGAGATTGCCCTCGGCAGGCTATAAAATGTAGTATTAGATTAACGAGCAGAAGAGATTCGAGAAAAGCCGAATGAAGGAAGATCATGAATATTTTTTGTTAGAAACTTCTGATTAGAAACTCGATCATTTTATAAATTTTATTAGTTATATTATTTTATATTTAACATGAAAAATAGTAGGTTTTTCTTACATGCATTTTTAAACATATGGAAATTAGTTTATTAATCGCTATTTTATAACACTTTACATAAACATAGTGTATATAAAAAGATTTTTTAGCGAATAATTAGATACCCTATTTTGTCACTAAATTAAAACAAATTTTATCGCTATCCACACGAGATCACAAAAAGTTCCGTTCAGCACTCGAGACAGTGGGCTAAGTTTAAGCATAATCGTATATAAGTAAGTGTCGAAAGAGTCTTCACAAGACAGGTCGTAAAGTCGGGACTGAAGAGTCCCGGCAAAAATTTTCGGCCGACGACCTCGTGGACGGATACGAGACAATCTTGTACGCGTCGCGGCCAATCACGACCTAATTACGCATACCGGGTACGGTCATGATGCGCGCGTACGCATCGCCCGCGGCTCGGCGCGATGTAAATTCCCCGCGAAAAAAAGAATCTCTCGTAGCTCGCGCGCCTACATGAAAATGGAGAACCGCCTAGGGCACTTTATTCCGGTCGAGCGAATCGGCTAGTCGACATTATTCAAAAATCCCCGCAGCCTGCTCTTACGCTTCCTTACCCTCAATTAGCAACGCGATACTTGAACGTAAAGCTTTATAGGAGCGATTTGCGCGTAACGAGGGAACTTTGGAGACTTATTGCCGACCGTCGCGCGATTTTTCCCGTTTATTAAATAATCCGCGTCTTGGGGCAAATGCGGCCTTAAATCCGAACCTTTAAGCCCAAAACGTCATATTGAGACTCAATACGAATCTCTTTTTTAGAAAATACATTGAAAGTTTCACAATTACTTTTACAAAAAATATTACGTTTATAATATTTTTAGTAAGAATTTTAAATTAATCAAATTAACTGAAAAAAATTGAGTAGAAATAGCAAAGAATTAAAGTCCTAAATTCTATTGTAATATTTGAGCTTTAATGATTATTTTATAACTTGCATGATTCCTCATCAAAGTAGATTAAAATTAATTGATGTTAATAAATTTATCATCAGTCTCCGACTCTTACACGATTAATTTGTTGGAACATTGAAATTTGCATATCTTGAAACAATTATGCGTTCCATCAATCTCAGCATTAACTCAAAACCACATGCTTATGATTATATTAAACTGTCAGTTATATTACTCTGTATAATCCTTCAGCATCCCCGGGGGATTTAAACTCGGGACAGGAAAAATCTCTCCGCCTATCGTCTAACCGTATGTAGATTTCCGCATATTAAATGCATCTCGTAATCTTCACGCTGACTGCATTCAAGAGTTAACTAACACCATTCGGCGTATTCGAACGGCTCACGATGTTGCATTCCCGAAGGCGGCGCATCTCTCTCTCTCTCTCGTTTACCCGTTAAAGCCGCTTCGAGGTGTACCAGTATACATCAGCGCGGACTCTTTGAGAAAAATTGATATCGTCCGATAAAGGTTTTTACCGCTCTCTAGCTTTTCTCCCCCATATCCCCAGCGAACCGTTTGAATCTTCCTTTTTTTCGTCCGTATTTCATAGTCGACCGTTCAATCTCGCGCCAAGGATCAATAGAGATTTTTCTCAGATAATTGAAATTTTGCGCCCGCATAGCTCTTCCCGCTGATACGGGCAGTTGAAAGGACACAAACGATCGAGGGAATGAAACAGCGGAAAGCGTGAAATAGGACGCGCATCTCTCTTAATCCGCGAAATACATTCATATTTAAAAAATGCATTTCGTTAACTTTAGAAATACTAAAAGTAAAATTCATTCTTACTATATTCAGTACACGAAGAGAATTTTTTTTTTTAATATACCCTGAAAATCATGTTAATTATGGGACAATATAGTATTTAGGCAAATTTTACTGTGCACTACAATAAGATTTCGCAGTAAAATTTATTGTAGTGCACAGTAAAATTTACCTAAATACTATTGTCTCACAATTAATATGATTTTCAGGGTAAATTTTAAAAGAAAATTCTCTCCGTGTAGAAATCTCTAGTAAAGGAAGAAGCAGCAAAATACTAGAATCTTGACATCTTGCTTGTGTAGATAATATTAATAAACATGTTAATAAACTTATAGTTCTTTTTATGAGAATATTTCCTTCAGATAAGAGGGAGTGTTATTTTTAACTCAAAATACTTAATGAAAGTATTTATCAGTTCGTTTACGTCGCAGGACAAATACGTGCCATTAAGCGCAAAAGTATCAACATCGACGTTAACGTGCAGAAATAACGAGCTCCGCCAGTTCCCGCGTTTAAGTTGCCGCGGCGAGTAATCGCCAGTGTCAAAATTAACTGCCGTTTACGTTCGATTTGCTCGCGTTTCCTCAGCCGATGCAGCGACCGCGAACTGCGACGCCGGGCTGCGAACGCGCGCGACAGTACAAATCGCTGGGATCGATAACCACCGGCTCCATTTGATTAATGCTCGCTCGGCGGACGACACGGTTTAACGACACTTACTCGCGAGCGACGCCGACGACGCTGAGATTCTCAATCACTGGTAAAAGCCTAATTACCCCGCTGACGCTTTGCTCGCTATTACTCGCTCGTACTCAGTTTCACTCTTTCTGTACAGGACGTTCCATCATTACTTATCTCATCCCAATATATGGTTCATCGACGGTGATAGAAACGTTCGATTTAAGAATAAAATTGCCCAATAATCTAGAAGATCCATTTCAAATATGATCTCATATTTAAAAAGAGATCTCGAACCGCATGACTCTTTACGTTTCCTCATGTTACAAGTTAGTCTGGTTTAGATCTCTGCATGAAATATAGAGGATCCCAAGAAAATTTCCCGATATCTCAAGTATAGTTTTGAAGATGCTGCACGCCACGGCGAAATCGGGTACGTAACTCACTCTCGCTCATTTAAAGAATTCGTAGATTCTCCGAAGTTCAGAAATGTGCCTCTACTTCATCTGAAACTTCGATTTTTACCGCGGCTTGAAAAGTTTATGTACCCTGCTCGACACATCTCTCTCTCTCTCTCTCTCTCTCTCTCTCTCTCTCTCTCTCGCCGATTCTCGCATAATCGAGTGTATGGAAATTTTACTCACCACCAGGAATCCATCAGCGGCTTAATCTAATATCCGTTATCGCTGCAACTTTTGAACTTTATCTCGCTTCCTCGGGCTCCTTCGAAAATTTCTGCAACGCCCGGTGGTACATGCGCGCGCGTGCGAGCGAGCGAGCACGTGGCGAACCTACAATAATAATTATCGTCATTATTACCGCGCTGGCTTACCAGTCGAGCGCCCTAAACCAAAGTTAATTACCACCCGCCGTGGCTAATTTAAATCAAGACTAATTGACCCGTTCCCCGAGCCTCACCCCGTCGTCATTACTGCGCTCACGCTCTGCTCCCTCGCATTACGAAAGTTTCGCCAAAGTTATATTATATATGGCGAGACCTTTTGGACTAGTCCCCCCCCCCTCTCTCTCTCTCTCTCTTTCTTATTCACTCTATCTGGTAGGCTTTCGTGAAAGTCACAAAGGACCACAATGAATTTCGAGTCCACTTCGGGTCCTCGTTTCTGAATTCGGACATTTCCTTTAATGGGTCCCACATGCGATGAGCAAATGCAAAAATCAACTTTGGAAATATTTTGTAATTTGCGTTTCTTTTGCATATAGTTGTGTATATATAATACATGGAGAGAATTTTTTTTTAATTTACCCTGCAAATCATGTTGGTGCAGTCAATTGTGGGACAATATAGTATTTAGGCAAATTTTACTGTGCACTACAATAAATTTTACAGTAGTAAAATACAGTAAAATTTATTGTAGTGTGCAGTAAAATTTGCCTAAATACTATATTGTCCCACAATTAACTGAAAACATGATTTGCAAGGTAAATTTAAAAAAAAATTCTCTCCATGTAGTTACAGAAATTCTATATACAAAAAAATTAATGGAAATATGATTATGCAAATATATATATAATAGATCTGCATTGCGCTGTTTAATAATATTTTGTTGCGAACAAAATTGGTGAAAACATGAAAATTCGTATTTGAGAATCTCTGAGAACCCTCAGGCTTACAAGAATCCCACGTTAATGATCTTGCCGCAGCGGTTATCAAACCATGTCGAAACACGATAACCGAGAGAAAACACTTCGATCAAACTAGACGAGAAGAGACTATTAAGTTTGTTATTTTTAAGATCAAAATAATCAATAAAATGTATATTTAATTCATTAGTCGATATTTAACTCCGAAGTGCAAATAATAAGATAATAAAGATTAATAAAAATAGTTTATTGCTTTTTTAATAAATTATCATTAATATTTATGTGATCTACCAGGGTAACATCTATTATTAGGATATTTCTAATTATTTTTGTCAAAGAATACATTCAATTTACTTAAAATATTTATGATACTTATGAATGATGTAATGCGCATTGATTTATTGTATTGAGAATCAGACATAAATCAGATAATAATTTCAAAAGATTGTTAACTGAAAGAAGCAGAATGGAACTACGGTCAATTTACAACCGTAACTAGTTCATAGAGATCGCTTCGAGGCAAACTAGCATAGTTGCGGAAAGTAAGTCACTCGTGTTCTCGCAGAGTTCAGCCAGTCCAGTATAAGTAAATAGCCAACAGTATCATGTAAAAGCAATTTGTCCCCGTAGTTAGGTAGAGAACACTCCGGTATGTTTTCGGTAGCCAACGGGACTGTTTCTATATAGTCGCACAAACTACCTCACGCGTGAAATTAGGTTAGATAGCGATTTATACGGTATCCCAACACCCTCCCATTTCACTAATGACAGTTTATTGCCAAGATAAATTTTCTTTAAGCTCCAAATTTATCGAAAATTTATACTTTCAATCAATATCATATTAATTTTAAAATTAAAAATGTTATTATATATATGTATAATATATATGTATTTACATAATAGAATAACATTACAACAGGAATTAAATTGCATACATCGTCCATTAAAGAGATTTCGTAAAAGTTTATAATTTCGACAAAATAGTAGGATACTCAATTTAGTTATACTACTAAAAATAAGAATTTCGTTTGAAAACGAAAAATACGCAAGTGTATACCTATACACACAGGGTATCGTCAAGTTACAGAGTAAAGAATGTAGGGAATGCGCGAGCTTTTCGGAATGTTTGCAAAATTGCAACGAGCGTTGCGGTTAACGCTCGCCCAGTAACGTTAGCACCACCGTAACGGTTCCGCGTGTAACGTCTCGCCGCGTAAATTCCGGCCTTAAGCCAACCGGACGCTTAATTCGCGCCCGTTTAATTTCGCGGCGAGTTTCGTGTCTCGCGTACAGAGAGAACGTGCGCTCGCTCACCCCCGCAGGGGGCGGTCCCCTGTCTCAAGGGCGACCGCGCGAAAAACCGTAGATTCTTCGCCGCCGCCGCGCCGTCACGGCTGGCAGTCACCCACGCGGCCATTAAGGGGTCCCGCACGGCCGCTATAAGGTGCTTAAGGTGCCTCGCGAGGCACATACAGCGTGTCGACCCTTTTATAATTAAGACGTTACTTTACGAGCGTGCACGAGCGCACCACGCGTGTGTGTCTCCGCCTCGTCCCGTGACGAGACGAGAGGGACAAAAGAGGGCATGTGACAGGTAAATGGGGGCGTGCATTTTGCGCAACGCATAATTAATTAAATCGTTCCGCATGCGGCGCGGCGTCGAGACGGCGAACGAGGCTAGAATAAAATGCAAACAACGTACGTATGTACATGTCGAGTATGTCTTTCTACGCAGATATATAGAGCGGAAAGAGATTTCGTATATTTAGGCTTTTATACGGCGTATAATACGGGTCAACCGGCGCGTAAATTATGACGGCAAATAATTTTGCATAGTTGCAAATTATATTTTACATTAAAATATTATATTGCATATTATATTATAAAAATAAAACGAATGTGTCTATTGTATAAGCAGCTTATGAATTTTTATCAGCTTGTCGAATTTTAAACACGTTTGTCGAATCTCATAAAAATTACTAATTTAATACTGGCTAAAAGCACATTTAAACTATGAATAGTTTTCTAGCTAAATCTAACGTCATGGATACTTATAATCTTTACAACAAACTACCGGAAGCATTAATGAGAACTTCTTATGAAGACAAGCCTTCCTCCCTGAAGAAAATAAGTCCTACAGAAAATTAATCGAATTTCATTACCCACGATAAAGTTATAAAACATAATAAATCTTAATTAGGAATTTATGTATTTTAAAGAAAGCTTTACGTAATTATGAAAAAATAAAACAGTCAACTAATAGCAATACATAATAAAAATATATATATTATTGATATATTATATATCTTTTCTTCCTGCCTGATATCAATACTTTCTAACAAAATAATGTGTATCTCCACTGTAAGAAATTGTAGAGTTACTTTACAATATATTTTCCCAACACATAACGTATGGATAAAATATCGCCCATTTGTTCGCGTCACAGATCTTCGTCGTCCACTCCACAACGGTATCAAGCGAATTTTATCCAAGTGCTTTCCAAGAAAAACGAGCGATCTTAGACATAGGTCCTCTCCGCCGGAGGATAGAATCGGCGACACTGTACCGAGTCGAGCCGATAAATCGACCGGTCCTTCGGTTTGCATTCGCATCCTTATTTCGGGCTATTTGTCTCGAGTTCCGGGGGATTCCGGCGCAGCGGCTTAAATCTTCCCGACTGATCCCGCGGGACAATCCTCTCCGGAATGGGAGAAACTCTCGGAGTTTATCAGTCGGGGAGGGGAACGATGTATGTAGCTCCGCGATCGTAGAAACTAGATTGCGGAAACGATTATCTGTCGATTCGTGAGACTCGACTCCCCCCCGGCTTTACTCACGATGCCGCGCGGAACGCAATTTACTAATTTGCCGAAGTTGCTCGACGACGCGATACCCAGACCGGATCGTGGAATAACGTATTAGGTATTAGATTATCGAGCACGACTCTCGTATTCCGTAACAGGTGAAGCAATTGAGTAAGAAATCTTTTTCATGTGCCTCAGGGAGAAAAAAGTGTAACTTTTTAAATCCTAAACAATTTCATTTTCGCGCAGAATATGTTGTGTCTATTATTTCAATTTGCAAAAAAAATTTTAATGTCCAACACAGATATGAGGAAAAAAAAGATTCGATGAAAAAGAAAGATTAATGAACAGCAACGCTTTTGGCGAAACATTAGGTTGGTCAGAAAGACTTTTGGCATTTAAATTCGTAAATACGAAAAGACTTTCCGACCAGCCTCCTGATATTTATCATTTATAATTGTAACTATCTAATCTAAGTACATTTCAAAGAAACATAGCGCCGAGATATCATCTTGATGAAAGCTGCATCAAAGAATATTATATATCTTTTTCGTAAGGTCTTTTTGTTGTAATTATTAAGTGTCTTGTCCGCAATTAACTTTTCCATTTTCTCTTGAATTCAAGTAAAATATGAAATATCAATATCTTCAATTTAGCAAAGCGCCTTTGCAATTCTAAATATTAAATAACCGCGCGTAATTAGGTCTCTATTTAAATTTTCACTAAGGCAAAGTTAACTGTAATCTCATCAAAGAGTATATATTTCTAAAGTTTTCCCGCGATACTTACAAAATAGCTAATTTGTAGCAACGCACTTCGTTTAAATATTTAAAGATAAGAAATATTCTTTTTTACGCTATGCCGCTGCTGCGGTTGTAAGAAAGTACATCCTTTGGGACGGCGAAAATTAAACGAGGCACCCGTAGATCGTTAATCGTTGACAGCGGAGACAGCAGTTCCGCTCCGAGGGCTCATTTCAGGGTAGCCCGTCCGCAGGTTCTCAAGAGGTTTTTAGTGAGAGGCCCGGGAGGTGCGATGTACAAATAACGGACGGAGTGCCTCGTCTCGATATGCCTGTTTGCACGTTTACACAACAGGGTGTTTCAGAATCACGAAATACTCTTCTTTCGAATAAAATTAGAAAATAATTTCTTAAAAATAGATTTATCTATATGATAGAATGAAGAAATATCTACAAAATTTCTCAGAATTCCTTATTTAAAAGATCTTAATAAATTAAAGTAGAATGGAAATTTAATATAAGAATTATAATATGAATCAAAATAATTCAAATGAAACATAAAAACATGCGCTTATTCAATCAGCTCACTTCACAATTCATTATACATATAGATTCGAAATCGGCTTGTAAAATATATCTATAT